AGTGCCATTGCTGACTATAAAAAAAACAAGACAACAACATTCTGTTTTGACTTAAATTTAATTTTTAAGTATATGTGACAGTGGTGTAACAAATCATTTGTTTTCACAATGCAGCAATTAATATTAAAACATTATTATTAATATTATTATTATTATTATTATTAAACATAAAATTTAATCATATGCATTGGTTAAGAATCAATGTTAAATGCTAAAAATCAAAGGAATTATAATATATTAACATATTTCACATACAAAGTACTGGCACTTTGTGATATGTAACTTTTTTTTTGACTTCAGTGCCTTTACAGCATGTATGTGTCTAAGACAGCATTGACCATGTATGTGAATGACCAAATGAGGCCCCAAAACTGTTGGTTAGGGTTTGTGTCCCGTTTTGAGTCTACTCCCTCAACACTTGTCTTTCACACATTTCTGCATGCAGGTTATGTGGACTTAATAGCACTGCAAGGCTGGCTTTAAAGTCCAGTTTGTAGTTAGGTGCAAGTTTAGCTGCTTAGCTAAGTGCTGCAACTCATGCCTTTGACTGCACCAATTAGAGACTTTTTTTCTTGCCACAGCTTCATGTCCGCGCAACTTCACACATTTTAAAACTCAGTTTTAGCTTAAAATGACAATGCGATATTGTAGCGATTACAGTGAAGAAAAGGGGAAGTGAAGCTACAGAGAACACAAAAGAGACTCTTTATTTGGAAAAATACACCACATAACAGCTGGCCTGAGGGGTTCTATATCATTAATAATGTGAGACACTGGAAAGATTTTTATTTTAAATAATGTTATTCAAACTACAACCCCATTTCCAAAAAAGTTTGCAAATCATTTAAATCCTATATTTAATTGAAAACAATACAAAGCCAACATATGAAATGTTAAAACTGAGAAATTTTATTGCTTTTTGAAAAATTTATGCCCATTTTGAATTTGATGCCAACAACACATTCCAAAAAAGTAGGGACGGAGGCAACAAAAGGCTGGTAAAGTTGTGTAATGCTAAAAAAAACACTTGGTGGTTGATTGGTAACAGGTCAGTAACAGTATAAAAAAAGCATCCCAGAGAGGCTGAGTCTTTCAGAAGTAAAGATGAGGAGGGGTTCACCACTTTGTGAAAGACTGCACGATCAAATAGTGCAACGATTCAAGAATAGCGTTTCTCAACATAAAATAGAAAAGAACTTTTGCTTTTAATCATCTATGGTACATAATAACATTTGAAAGATTAAGAGAATCTGGATCTATTCAAGGGACAAGGCCAAAAACTAGTATTTGTTTTTTGCACTGCATTAAAAACAGACATGATTCTATAGTGGAAATGCACAGCATGGGCTCAGAAACACTTCTGAAAACCACTGTCTGTGAAAACAGTTTGTTGCTGCATCCACAAATGCAAGTTAAAACTCTAAAACGCAAAGATGAAACCATATATAAACAGGATCCAGGAATTCTGCCACCTTCTCTGGACCCAAGCTCATTTAAAATGGACTGACTAAAGTGGAAACGTGTCCTGTGGTCTGATGAATCAACATTTGAATTTCTTTTTGGAAATCATGGACATTGTGTCCTCAGGGCTAAAGACCACTCAGCTTGTTATCAGTGCACAGGTCAGTAAAAGCCAGTATTCATGATGGTACAGGAGTGCATTAGTGCACATGGCATGAATGATGTGCACATCTGTGAAGGCACCATTAATGCTGAACGATATATAAATGCTTTGGCAATATATGCTGCCACCCAGACAGTCTTTTTCAGAGAAGGCCTTGCTTAATTCAGCAAGACAATGCCAAACCACATTCTGCATGTATTACAACAGCATTGCTGTGTATTAAAAGAGTCTTGGTGCTAAACTGGCCTGCCTGCAGTCCAGCTCTGTCACCCACTGATAACATCTGGCACATTATGAAATGAAAAATATGTCAAAGGAGACCCCGAACTGATGAGCAGCTGAAATCCTACATCAAGTAAGAATAGGAAAACATTTCACTTTCAAAACTACAGCAGTTTGTGTCCTCAGTTTCCAAACGCTTACAGAGTGTTGTTAAAAGAAGAGGTGATAAAACACGGTGGTAAACATGCCCCCGTCCCAACTTTTTTGGAATGTGTTGTTGGCATGAAATTCAAGATGGGCATATATTTTTCAAAAAACAATTCAATTTCTCAGTTTCAACATTTGACATGTTGTCTTTGTAGTATTTTCCTTTAAAATATGGTTTACATGATTTGCATATCATTTGCATTCTATTTTTATTTACATGAATTAAGGTATATAGATGAGTCTGTTCTAGTGTAAAGCCAACTTAAACAATGTCAGACTTATTTAGATTTTTTACAGTGGATGCTATAGTGTGGACTTAGATTTCGGATACATCCTCTGCCCTCCTTCTGTCAAGGATAAGCCATGATTGAGGCCTGGTTTATATATATATTTTTTTTGTTAATTTCACTGGAATTTTTAATTCAGTATGATGTGTATGCCTAGGCCTTCTGTTTGGGCTCATCTGACACAGTTTGTCCCTCATCTGAAAAATACTCTGGACCAGATAATTTGGGGCAGTGTTGTGTAAAGCACTGTTGACTCAGTAAAACTCATTTTTAATACCTGTTTACTTTCTTCCAGTAGACAGCACCAGATTTGTGTTTACACTGTTTACACTTGTCTCACTTGTCTCAACATGAAGTGTGTGTTGCATATTTCATGACTATCGATAAGGGTTCTGTTCCCTCCAGCGCAAAATTATGGTGAAGATGTCAGTCTTGTTCTGCTCAATGTTAATGGCTTCAAACAGTTGATGAGTGGTTAAAAAATGTTTCCTGGTTAGTTTGTGTTTAATGTATGACCAAATTTTCTCTATAGGGTTCAAATCTGGACTTTGACCAGGTCAAAACATGAGCCTGATGGACTTGTTCTCAGGCCCCTTCTTGGTGGTCTTTGCAGTGTGAGCAGGATCATTGTCTTGTTGAAAAGTAAAATGTGATTCCTCTTGGAAAACAACTTTTCAATTGAGGGATGCAAGCCTTTCTGCACTATTTTTCTGTATTCCAAAGCATTAATTGACTTTTCACAGTGAAGTAGCTCACCGGTACCAGCAGCTGTAAAGGCTCCCCACACCTTGACACGTCTACCTCCGTGCTGAATGGCAGTAGAGATGCATTCAGAGTTGTATTTCTTACCTCTTTAAAGGCACCTCTCTGAACCATCACCATGCAACTCAACTTGTGATTCTTAATCAAACTTTCCATATTCTGCCAAAAATTTAATTCTGTTCTTGATGTTTCTCTTAGACAGCAGTGTCTTTTTAACATACCTTCTAGATACAAAACCTGTATCAGACAACATTCTGGTTATTGTTATTCTCAAAAAAGTCTTGTTTTCTGTGTCTTGAATTCTGCCAGTTTTTGAAAGTTTTTTTCCTGTCTTTGAGAACTGTAAATTTCAGCAAGTGGTCATCTCTGTTTGAAGAGGCTTTGGGCCTTCTAGATCTTTTCTTTCTGCCAAGATCACCTGTTGTTTCAAATCATTAACCTATTTTCTGAATAGCTGATAGTAAAATCGGGATTTTTGTGCCTTTAGGGTCTTGTAAATTTCAGAATTGCTGCAGTTGGCCGGACAAAGACAAGCTGTCTGGTTTCTGTCAGCAACCCCTGCATGATATTTTGCTTTTTTGGAGCAGATTTTTTCACTCGTTTACCTTGGGACTCATAAGATGTTGTAGATCTCTACCCGTAGATATCTGTCACTCCTGGTTGGTTCTGCAACCTTGTTTCCAAAAAAATTGGGATGCTGTGCAAAATGTAAATAAAAACAGAACTCAATGATATGCAAATCATTTAAACCTTATATTTAATTGAAAATGGTACAAAGACAACATATCAAAAGCTGAAAATGAAGTTCTATTTTTTTAATTTAATTTTTTTTTTAATATATTCCCACTTTGAATTTGACCCAAGCAATACATTTAAAGTTGGGACAGGGACATGTTTACCACTGTGTTGCTTCTTTTAACAACTGTTTGGGAACTGAGGAGACTGATTGCTTGTAGTTCTGAATTTGAAATGTTTACAGATTCTTGCTTGATTTCAGCTCCTCAGCAGTTTGGGGATCTTTTTTTGCATTTTTTTTTTGTTTCATAATGTGCCAGATGTTTCTAGTGGGTGACAGGTCTGGGCTACAGTCTGGCCAGTTTTGCTCCTGGGCTCTTTTACTACGGAACCATGCTGTAGTAATACGTGCAGAATGTGGTTAGGTATTGTCTTGCTGAAATAAGCAAGGCCTTCCCTGAAAAAGACGTTGTCTGGGTGGCAGCAAATGATGAACAGTGTCACGGACAGTGGTTTTTGGAAGTGTTCCCGAACATATACAGTGATTTCCACTACAGAATCATATGTTTTTAATGCAGTGCAGCCTGAGGGACCAAAGATCGTGGCCAGGCACTATTGGTTTTCTGCTTTGTCCTTTGCGTACAGAGTTTTCTCTGGATTCTCTGAATCTTTTGGTAATATTATGTACTATAGATGATGAAATCCCCAAGTTCTTTGCTATTTTATGTTGAGAAATGTTATTCTTCAATTGTTGTACTGTTTGCCTATGCAGTCTTTCACAGAGTCATGAACCCCTTCCCGTGTTTACTTCTAATAAAAGACTGTTTTTATACCCAATCATGTTACTGACCTGTTACCAATTAACTTAATTAGTTGAGATGTTCCAAGTGTTTTTTTTTAGCATTACACAACATTACAGGTCTTTTGTTATCTTTTGTTGTATCTTTCTTTTTTGTATGTTTTGTTTTTGAAATGTTTTTATATTTATGTGTACATTTTTATATATATATATATATATATATATATATATATATATATATATATATACACATGTTTTTGTACTATTTTCAATTAAATATAAGGTTTATTCTATTTTTCCCTGTTTGCTTTGAAAGCGTTATGTTTTCTGGCTGTTGATATTCTCCCAAATCTTCTTTTATCAGATGGAGAGTGAGAAGAAGAGGAGAAAGTACTCCACCAGTAGCAATGACTCTGATACCACTGACAGTAAGTAGCTACTTATCAGAGAAAACATTTGGCTGGTAAGAAGCAATTGTACAAGCATGTTGCCGTTGGAGATTAATTAGTCTGGATTAACTCACAAGAGATCAATTTACAAAGCAATAGAGATTACGTTGGGCAGCTGCTGTACTCAGCAGGCTAAACAGACAAGCAGAGGACCTTCATATTTCTTCTGATCTTATCTTCTTTCTGTGCTGCTATTGCTCTTACCAGTCTGGTGCTCTCCTGTTGTCACTCTTGAGTTTATGTGTGTTCTCTTCGTCTTTATCATCTCTTGTCTGCTTCTTTAAGTTGGTCTGGTCTTAGTGAAAAAGCAAGGTGCGGTCCATGTAATGTAGGGCCTGACCAATATGAAAATTGTGTTGTTGATGCTGATTTTGGGCTAAAATTCTGATAACCAATATCATTGCCTGTTATAATCGTATATTTAAGCCCAAATGTGGTTAAGTACTTCACTGGCCATTATGATTGGTTCCTAAGTAGTGAAGCTCACAATATTGAAAACAGAGAAAAAGAAAAAAGAAATCAGCATGTCATTGACAGATGTAATAGATTAAGCAGCAATACGAACGACTGCTGTTCGAGGCCTATCAAAATAACAATGACAAAACCAGGGACAACTATTAGTAGCGTATCGTAGTGAAAAGGAGAGTTAAATCCATGAACATCAGTGACTACTGTGAGAAGTATGATGATATGTGTGGCTTTGAACAGCAGGAAGCCCCATGGTTTTCAAGCTGGTCTAGAAGGTGGGAGAGTATCAGACGAGGCAGCAGCATCAGACTGTACAGCATTGTTCAGTTCAGTAAAGAAAGACAAAGACAGTGTTGACAGGGTGCAGGCCTATTAGAGTGGCTCTGGCATGTCTTGCTGTTACAGCCTTACTAAATAGGAGAACCAGATAGCAAAGACATGAGGACTCCCTGAGATGAGTTATTCCATACCAACTCACCTTGCCCTCACTCAGGTTTGTTGAAGGTGGAGCGGAGTGGCCCTGACATCTGAGTCATTCCATACCGGTTCACCTATCCCTCCCACTTAATATGATGGATTTTCTTGAAAAACAAAATCATGTGAAAACTTCTATTAAATTCATGGGAAATGAAAAATATATATATATAGCTCTACTCTAAGTACTCTTTCAGTTATGAATTTTTTAAAGAGTTTTGGCCATTTGGAATCACTTTTGCGAATGTATGTGCATTCTAAGCCTCATTAATTGGTGATTTTTTGCTGGATTGGGTTGAAATTTGTATTGAACTTCCAAGAAATTCTAAGGATAATTTGCAGCATGTATTTATGTAAGTAGTTGGTGCTGAATGTTACAGAGTAGTCAAATTATAAAAAAAAAGATTTTATCTTTGATTTTTAAAAATTTTAATTTCCATTAGTTTTCACTTTTCCTGCAACCATATTTTTATTCTTAGTAGTATTAATATAGTTCTGTCACATCTAGAAGTTATTTGGTCCTGCATAAAACAATGTTTGCCACATATCTTGCTAAATATATTGCCTAAGTATAACACAACAAGGTGCACTATGACCATTACGCTAGTACTTAGCAATACTAACAACAACAAAAATGCCTTTGTGAGCATTTCACAGGGTCCATCAAGTGGCCAGTGTCTCATGGAAATAAGTCCACAACGCCTCCAGAAGGCTCGACAGTGGTGTTTGGCATCCCAGACCCACCCCCCTCCATACTCCGAGACAACAACAGATACACCCAAGCATTACTGAGAGACTTCCCCAAAACAAGCACGTTTAAACGCCAGTACGTTGGGTTCTTCAGCTATATTTAGGCCTATTTGGTGGTGGCTCTAAGTATGCCATCTTCAGCCATACTTACACCCCATAGATTTAGGCAGCTTTAGGTATGGCACTCACAGACTACTTGGGGAATTAAAGAAGCCTGTTGTTGCAAGATGCTTTGGAATTTGGTATGCTGGCATACTTTGACATACTTTACAAGGTTTTCTGGATTTTGACATACCTAGAGCGTGCATCAACAAAGCATGGGTATAGTTGCAGAGGCCAAATTTTAAGCCTCCTTAGTCTATGCATAAGTATGGCTGAAGTATGGCTCTATGTCCTTGAACCCCTACAGATCATGGACAAAGCAGGAAAAATGAATTAACATTTACTTGACTAAAGTGGCCCAGTCTTAAAAACGTAGACTGTGTGTCAGTCCCAAACACTGACTAAAAGGTTATTCCAAAGCTAGAAATCTTTGTATGAAAGTTACATCTACCCCATGATGTAACTTTATAAATTCTAGGTATTAATAGTGAGCCAGCACCATGTAACCTAAGTGGGCGTGAAGGTGTATCAAAAGAGATAAGTTCAAAGAAAAATGAGAGAACAAACAAAAACACTCCCAACAACGCTGCACCACTGCACCATAAAGGGTCATTCAACCAGTATACACGCATATATATAATATATGTAATACAGTAAAAAAAGTGATACTGATTAAAATAGGAAATAAACAAATAAATACATAAATTTTTTTCAAAGGGAAATCTCAAAAATGTGAAATATCGATCAAGTCCATGTTCTCTACATATGTCAAGACAGGTTGCCAGGTCTTATAGGACTTATGATCACAACCAGTCACAGAGTAACGAATTATTTCTAGACTCACGTAATGCATTAAATCCCTAATCCAGTATTTAAAGGTGGGTGGGAAGGGTGGGTAGAATAAGCTGCCTGGCTAAGAGAGTGGCAAAAGCAATCGCCTTTTTGGCAGAGTTATCTATGTGAGACTCCTGTAAAGTCACTCCGAATATTGCGCTAATAGGAGATGGCGTCAGTGATCTCTTAAAGACACTTGAGAGAAAAGCAAATATTGACTGCCAGAATATAATAAATTTTGGACAGGACCAAAACATGAGAGAGAGTGGCTGGTTCTATTTTACACCTGTCACACATAGGATCAACATTGAGAGTAAATTTAGCCAGCCTATCCTTGGACCAATGTAGATGATGGACTGTTTTAAACTGAATGATGCTGTGCCTTTAACAAATTGAAGAGGAGTGTATTCCATCCAAAATATCTTGCTACATCTCTGTTGATATCTGCGTGTCAAGTTCCTCCTCCCACTGTTGTTTCAATAAAGTTAGAGGCCTCAGATTATATGAATTAAGCAGAGAGTACACCACACCAATGCATTTCTTAGACTGTGGGCTGGTTTTCAATATAGTATCTAAAAGGAGTGATGTGGTAATGATGGAAATTGCGAATAGCTTGATGATATAGAACTATGGAGCTGTAGGTATCTAAAAAAATACAAAAAATGTGATTGAGGAATATTAAAATGTGTTGTAAGTTATTCAAAAGATATAAAAGTATCCTCAACAAACAGGTCTTTAAGTATTCTGATTCTTTTCTCAACCCAACATTTGAAGGCACTATCAGCAACAGAGGGGATAAACATATTATTTCACCTCCTGAAGTGCTTTAAGCAATCTCCTTTAAACAAGTCTTTGGTGTGTTCATGCCTGCTTTTTGTGAATATTCTTTTATTAATCCTAATACTCAGGACTGATGAAATGACCAGGTGTAAACTGGGTCAAGGTGGCTTGTTCTGACTTGGTATTTCTGATGGTAGTAACACACTATGGGCACAGTAATGCTGACTCTTGTGTGTTTTCATAGTTTATCATCATTCTTCTTCTCTCACATAAGCAGCTGTTTTTAAGCATTACATCTGTATTTCATGAACAGTTTTTCTTCTGACTTCTGGACTGCTTCACTGTGTGTTTTCATTGCTGTTGTTTTTAACCTAGCAGGATGTGGTTTTCTCTGTGCATTTTGTATTTTCCCAAATCTCACACACTCATCATTGAAGTATCAGGCACATCATGAGGATGTTCAGTTATGTTACAAGAGAGATTAGGAACAATTGGCAAGTATAATATGTTGTTTCTGAAGGAGTTTGGTATTCCTTTGCAAACACAACTTCCACAAATTGAAAGATAATGTTATTAGTCACTGTAAATGTTAGAATGTCATCAATATAGATGTGCCATTAAGATAATGAAATTTTCTTCAAGAAGTTATTAGATTTTGTGTATTTGTTAAAAAATTTACAGTTTATTAATGTCAAGCCTATAGTAATGCCAGGATATAGTAGCCAAGCCTGTAAATTTTAAGGCAAGACCATGTGGCTTTTTCAAATGGTAGTTCCCAAATGCCCTGAATAGGGTATTTTCGTAAGGCCAGAAAATACATGTGTAGAGACATTCTGTTAAGCCTCAGTGCGTGGTGACGACATTTATTTCTTTTTCTTTAAAACCTGCTCCAAAATTTTCCTAGTTTGTGCACTTTTAAAAGGCGACATAGTACATAAAACTGCATTTTCCTCGTCAATTCACATATACATTACTTGTTGCTGTATCTACCATCCAAGAGATCGTGAAATGTGAAGTCTCTGCTGTTTCGGCATATTTCCCTTCCTCAAAAGGCGTGTGATTCTGCAGGTTGTTAGGATTTGCTACTTGCTTCTCAGTTACGCCAAGTAAGCGTCCCGCCCCTAACTCACACAAACATGCCCACTCAGCCAACCTACGTACTTTCACATTCGCATTTGCTGTTCCACATACAGACATCTTTGATGGACAGGAAAGTGTGAAACAGCTATGTAAATCTGTTTCACTGATAATAAAGCTCCTGCAAGGTTAGGACCTGTTTAAAACAAAAATGTCACGTAAACATTCTGCTTTACAATCCTTGTACTGTTTCTAGTTTAAACTGAATTCAAAACCATGGCTAATGTGCACGTTAGAGAAACTTGAAGCCATAGAGTATTGATGGTTAGTGTAAAATGGTTAGTCCAATAAAACAAAAACTGTCAGTTTAGAGTGGACACTACTGTGCACATTAAAATGAAGTGATTTTCCTGTAGCATTTTAAAGTAACTGGTAGCCAAATCATAAATCAATATTAAACACACTATAAAATTATAACACTTGATAATAACAGGCCCATATATAGAGCAACTTAATAATTATGTAATTGTTTGTAAATGATAGATCATAGATCTATAATTGTTTTTTGTACATTAATAATTGTTACCATTTGACTTACTCACCATTTACTTAGTGACATACAAATTATTAACGCACTGTAAATGCTTCTTTATGAATGTACTACATTAAAGTGTAATAAAAGATATCTTTATCATAGCAAGACAGTAAATAATACTTAATTATTCAAAACGGTGCAGACAGTTCATTCAGTCACTCAGTAAATAATTTATAAAAGTTAAATAGTTTAGATATCATGATTAATGATTAAATTTGTACAATTCAAAATAATTGTTCATTTTTATATCACTGAGGAAATTGTTAATAATTCAAACTGTACCATTTATAAATGCATATGTAACTGTTATATAATTATTAACACTATAATTAACAATATAAGTATTGTCACTAACGAACTATTAGGTGATGATTAAATTGTTGTTTATTTGGGCCTGTTATTCTAAAGTGTTACCAAGTGTAACATATCAGTTCAGAATGTCACATTATGCACTTACTGAAAATTAAATTAATATTTTGGATGGATGTTTGTGTACTATAATAAATTAATACACTTTTAAGTTTTATTTTCAGAAGAATCGTATGAACAACAGCATTTAAGTGAATATGTAGTAAGTGACCGGATTGGGTTTTAGCTAAGGCATTTACATGTGTTGCAGGCCACGTGACAACCTGGTCGCGGTCTTCAAAGAACACCGGGACCACTAGCGCATGGGTACGACTGGAACAGAGAAAACCATCAGAGGTGAGTGCTAGGAAAGTTGTATTTATTTTATCAAAAGGCATAAAATGTGGCTGAAGGGCAATTTTCATTTTTGTACATTTGCATGTATATCAGGAATAGGTGTGGTTATTCAGATTTCTCAACATATCTTAGTATTTGTTTACTTTACTGGGTATTCAGTTATGCCATGTGTAGATTGTAATTAAAATTGAAGTAAATTAGGTTTTATCTGCAATTTATATGCAATTCCAAGTTATTGTTCTGTTTGTCAACTGGTACTGTGTTAAAGTACTGCAACAAGGACTCTCTACCATATTGCATTGACTCACCAGCTCCACCCTGGCTCTGCCCACTCATGATCACCCACACCTGCAGCTAGTTTCTACTTTTTTACACCTTAATCACATACGCCTAAACACAAAAATGCTAAAATTACCCACTGATCAGTTATGGACCACCTCTTCTGCTAGGTGTTCTAGGTGCTGTTGTGACTAGATCACAACAATCATTTCAATCAATACATTTATCATAAATTCATCAGACAACTGTGACAATTACTTCACAACTGTATACAATAAATGAATGTTCTAATCTTCTTCTATGTTTACATTTTTAATTGATATTGATATCAGATATTTTCTCATTGAGATATTTGAATACTGTTAATTTAAAGTGTAGATATTCAAGCAAAAAATAAAATAAAAAACTGACCTTTTTTACCTTCTTACTTCATGCCTGTAGTCACAATAAGCACAATTTATCATGTCATAACACTCATAATACTCACCATTTACTTAGTGACATAGAAATTATTGAAGCACTGTAAATATTTTTCCATAAATGTACTTTATTAAAGTGTAGTAAGTAATAAAAGATATATTTATAAATACATTATAGTCACACCTTTACAAAGGGGGTGTAGTGATTAATGATGTTTAAAAAATGAAAAAAAAAAAAAAGATACACTAACTAAGAAAATGGTTAATAATTCAAATTATACTATTTATTAATGCATGTTATATAATTACTAACCAACTATTAGATTATGATTAAATTGCTGTTTATTTGGGCCTGTTATTCTAAAGTGTTATCAAGTGTAGCATATCAGTTCAGAATGTCACATTATGCACATTTTACTGCAGCATTAGTATTCTTTGAAGACTGCGAACAGGTTGGTCTTGGCCTGCAACGCATGTAAATGCCTTAGTTAAAAGCCAATCTGGTCACTTATTACATTTTTTGTCACCTAAATGCTGTTGTTCAATTAGGAGCATTACATTCTTCTGAAAATAAAACTTAGTGTCTTAAATTATTATAGTACACAAACATCCATCCAAAAATAGCAAATTTAGTCATAATAAGCACCATTTATCATACCATTTAAAAGGTGAAATTTTGTTTTCCCATGATCTTCCTGTAAAGACTTTTAACACACCACAAAATGTGTTTTAAATTTGGTCATCATGCATCAGTAGGTATGGAAAAATAAAATTAACCAGTAATATCATATTTTACCTCCTGCTCCCACTACTCCCACCTATCATTGAGTCAAATACTCAGAAAGCTTAGAGACCCTAATGTGTTTCACTTAGAAATGTGTCATGGCGCAGAAGGATAATGCATTGTGATTTCTGTTTCGCATTGATTTTAAATGCCCATTCATAGTTTGTTTTTATTTGACATTTGTGTCAAACTGTATTATGCATGATGAGTGGTAAGAGGATATTTACTGTGTATGTTTGTCATTTTAGTCTAGTGTGTAACTAAGCTGAAACTACACAGATACTATTTATACTACCAAGTACATGGTTTTCTTTTCCTCTGTAGCGCATGCTCTTTCAACAAGCTACAATCCAAATTCAGAAAATTTCATCTTGATCCATTATATTTGAGTACACTTATTTATTAAATGCAATTCATGCAAAATCTAGCAAAAGATTGTTAGTATATGTTCTTCTTTGAAAATTAATCATTGAACTTCGGCTGTAACCTAATACAGAGCTGAGACAAACCTTTACTGAACAGGAAGGAAGTTGCTTTTGCTTGTAGGCAGGTGTGAAACTTGCAGTGGAAGGCTTTTTCCTCTGTAGCCTAGACAAAAATCAATTGGAGCAGAATTTGTATAAGGTGATGGAAGCTTCACCAGCTGTCGCCATTTCACTTTACCAGCTGAGTAAGAAAGAGCTTTGGTAAATCATGCCATGCAGTTGCTAAAAGTCTGTGGTTGTTGCGTCTACCATGGAGCTGTGTGAAAGTGTGATGACTCAAACAGTGTAGTTCCTCTGTTTGTGTGTCTACATGAAAAGGTACAGAACATAATTTACTCATAGTTCTAAAAACATAAAGAGCATGATAAATATTTATTTGTGACGTTGGAAGGTTTTTTCAGATTAAGTCAGTTTAGAATTTCTGCTGTATTATCTTGGTAGTTGATATCTTGCATAAATTAGTTGAATCAGTGCTCAATGTTTTTCAGGATATATTTCAAGATTTATTTACATAACGCTTTTTTCAGTGAGTGCGAACACAGAGCAGCTTTACAGAAAATCCAGGTCCAAGTCCCAGATGAGGATGTGTAGAGTGATACTGGCAACTTCCTAAGAGCAAGAGGAAGAAGCCGTGAAAGGAACCAAGACTCCAAAGTGGAACCCATCCTCCTCTGGTCAACAACACATAGCAAAACGCAATCAGAATCGGATTTATTTGATTCTAGCTGTTGGTATCTCTCTAGTATTAAATGAAATATACAGACAAGGTACAAATAATTTACAGACAATATACACAATATTACAAGCAATGTGCAGACTATACAAGGACAAGAAACATAGATTAGATTCAACTTTGTCGCTGTGCAGAGTACAGATACAAAGCCAGTGAAATGCAGCTAACATCTAACCAGAAGTGCAAAATACAGTATTATTTACATATAAAGTGCAGAAAGATGGTAGAGTGGTAAAAAATATAGATATGCAAGTATAAATATATTATACATACATACAGACTAAAGGGAGAGTGTACAAATGTAGGTACTGTGAGAGCAGCATATGTAAAAGATATGTATGCAGAGTAAACTTGTACAGTAACTGTCGGTGCAAATATGAATAGTGCAGTAATAGACTGCAAATATGAACAGAGCCATAATACTAGGACATAAAGTATCACTTTTCCAAAAAAGTTGGGACAGTTTGCAGAATGTAAATAAAAATAGGATGCAGTGATATGCAAATCATGTAAACCATATTTTTAAAGGAAAATACTACAAAGACAACATATCAAATATTGAAACTGAGAAATGTTCTTGTTTTTTGAAAAAAATATTCCCATTTTGAATGTGATGCCAACAACACGTTCCAAAAAAGTTTAACACTGTGTTTCACTTCATTTAAAACTCTGTAACTCTTTGGTAAATGAGGAGACAAACTGCTGTAGGTTTGAAAGTGAAGTGTTTTCCCGTTTTTGCTTAACATAGGATTTCAGCTGATCAACAGTTTGGGGTCTCTTTTGTCGTATTTTTCATTTCATAATGGACCAAATGTTTTTAGTAGGTGACAGGTCTGGACTGCAGGCAGGTCAGTTTTGTTATACACGCAGAATGTGGTTTAGCATTGTCTTGCTGAAATAAGCAAGGCCTTCCCTGAAAAAGACGTCATCTGGATGAACGTTGGATGTATGTTGCCAAAAACATGTATATATTGTTTAGCATTAATGGTGCCTTCACAGATGTGCACGTCACCTATGCTATGTGCACTAATGCGCCCCTATACCATCATGAATACTGGCTTTTGAACTGTGCACTAAGAATTTCATATGGTGATTCATCGGACCACAGGACACTTTTCCACTTCCCTTCAGTCCATTTTAAATGAGCTTGGGTCCAGAGAAGGTGGCAGAATTCCTGGATGCTGTTTATATATGGTTTCTTCTTTGCATTTCAGAGTTTTAACTTGCATTTGTGGATGCAGCGACAAACTGTTTTCACAGACAGTGGGTTTCAGTGTTTGAGCCAATGCAGTGATTTCCACTACAGAATCATGTCTGTTTTTAATGCAGTGGCACCTGAGAGCCCAAAGATCATAGCCAGGAAATACTGTTTTTTGGCCTTGTCCCTTGCATACAGAGATTTCTCCAGATTCTCTGAATCTTTTCATCTTAGTTTGTACCATAGATGATAAAAAGCAAAAGGTGCTATTTTACATTGAGATTTCTCGTTATTCTTGAATTGTTGCACTATTTGCTTGTCATTCACGAAGTGGTGAACTCTCCTCATCTTAGCTTTTTTGGAAATAGGCTTGTACAACAAGAATGCAGTGAGTGTAAACTTGTGATTAAAGTGGCAGTGTGGAGTTCAGCAGGGTAACAGCCTCAGGGAAGAAGCTTTCCAGAGCCTGCTGGTGCGGGAGCGGAGGCTTCTGTAATGCCTGCCAGATGGGAGGACGGTAAAAAGTCCATGGTTAGGATAAGAAACGTCCTTGATGATGTTCCTCTCCCTGCCCAGGCAGCGCTTATGGTAGATGTTCTTAATGGAGGGTAACTGGGTACCTGGCTGTTTTCACCACCCGCTGGAATGCTTTTGTGCAGTTGCCGTGCCACACTGAGATGGTACAGCAGTAGAGGTTCAATAGTATCCCAGGACACAGGTGAGTATTCTTAAGGCTCCATAGGAAATAAAAAGACATTGTTGCGCCCTTTTGACCATGCTGAAGGAGTTTAGGCACCAGGTGAGATCATCCGTGTGGATGCATCGGATGTGGATGCCAAGGAACTTGAAGCCAGATATGCGCTCTACCTCAGCTCTGTTGATGTAGATGGGGGAGCGTGCCTGGCTCCTACCCCTCCTAAAGTCCACTATGATCTTGATTTTCTAGGTGTTGAGCGCCAGGTTGTTGTCATCACACCATGCCGCCAGGTGCTGCACCTCATCCCTGTAGGCTGTCTTATCGTCACTTTTGATCAGACTTATCACCATGGTGTCAGTCATGGGTGGACAGGGAGTATAGAAGAGGGCTCAGCACACAACCGTC